TGGTATAACCAATTGTTAATGATTTTAATACATAACCAGTTCACTGTTGACTGTGTTTAATCCTAACCCTAACCTTAACCCCTAACCTTAACCCCTAACCTTAGCCCCTAACCCCTAATCCTAACCTTAGTCCCTAACTCTAACCTTAACCCTAACATATTTCATACTTCTAACATAGTAGAAAATGAATAGTAGATATCACACTATAGTAGAAAATGGACGGTAGATATCGTACTATGGTAACTTTCAGTATCTTTCACCCTAACCCTAACCGTTAACCCTAACCCTAACACATTTCATATATTATTAGTTTTACATGATTTTCGGGAATTCCGGAATTCAAACGATGACCTTTTCAGTGTTACTTTAAATGACATCAAATCAGTTTACAAACATTAAAATCACTATTTGATGATTTTTACATCTATCTTTTGTATAAAAATTGTTAATAATTTTTAATACATAACCAGTTCACTGTTCACTGTCATTAACCCTTAGCCCTAACCCTAACCCTAACCCTTAAGCCTAACCCTAACCACTGACCCTAACATATTTCATACTTCAGTTGGTAAATATCATACCATAGTAAAAAATGAATAGTAGATAACATACTATAGTATAAAATGGACGGTAGATATACTTTTGTGATATTAACAAACACTCGTTGTTACTTTTGTAATGTCAATGAATACTCGTTGTCACTCTCGTAATTCTTGTTGTAGTAGAGACTTTGTAATCGCAGATACAACTATAGTAACGCCGTTGAACAATACTGGTGTCAGACGCCTTTGAATATCACTCGCACTAACAGTTCGATAATACCAGCTCGAATAGTAATCCGTATAGTGATCTGAATAGAGACATAATATAGTAAATAGAGAATAGCGGTTCGTATAGTAATGGAGGATAGAGTAGAAATAGCGATCCGAATATTAATAGATGATAGACTAGAAATAGAGATCGTTTAGACGTCACGCTACTTTTTTACTTATGCGATTCCTCTATGGCCACGTGATCTACTTAATTCAATTCATCACCCACAAGGCCTCGAAAACGGTTTTGAGATTTGTCAAAGCTGGACTTAAATTTTATATAAATTTCGTAAAAAAAGAAAGAAAATTTACTTGATTCTATTGCCACCTTACCGCACTCTTGTTTCTAACCACTCTCATCATTCTACCTTTTCTTCGGCGCCCTGGGGATTGGATTTTTTAGATCAGCCCCTCAGAGATATAGAGGTGTGACGGCACTGCCCTGAAGGATGGGTAAACCTCATCCGAGACGAACAGATACTGAGGGAAAAATTCATCACCCAAAGTTTTTGAATTTCATTAAAATAGACCTGGGGAAAATTTACTTGATTCTATTTAATGTACATTGAGATATTTCGTATCAGTGGACTAAGAGAGAGAGAGAGAGAGAGAAAGAGAGAGAGAACAGAGAGAGCGAATGAAAAAAATAGACCTGAAAGATATTTAATGTGGATTGAGAGAGAGAATGAGAAAGAGAGAGTGAGAGAAAAGAAAAGAAAGTGAGAGAGAAAAAAGAGAGGAGAGAAAAGAGAGAGGGAGAGTGAAAGAGGGAGAGAGTGAAAGAGGGAGAATGAATGAGAGAGAGAGAGAGAGAGAATGAGAAAGAGAGAGAGTGAAAGAGTCAATGAGATAGAGAAAGAGAGTGAGTGAGAGAAAGAAAGAGAGAGAGTGAAAGAGAGAGAGAGTGGCAAGAGTGAGTGAGAAAGAAAAGAATGAGGAGATATAGAGTGAAAGAGACAGAGTGAGAGAGAATAAGAGAGAGAGAGAGTGAAAGAGAGAGTGAGAGAGAGAAAGAGAGAGAGAGAATGAAAGAGAGAATGAAAGAGAGGGAGATACAGAGTGAGTGAGTGAGTGAGAGAGAGAGAGAGAGAGAGAGAGAGAGAGAGAGAGAGAGAGAAAGAAATTACCAAAACAAAAGTTAATGTAGTATGTGAGAATAATGGAGTTAATATGGTTCCCTCTTAAAGTTTGAAGAATTTGACCACGAAAAAGAAAATTAGATTTAACTACTAGTTTCCACTGTTTCCATTGAAGTAGTTTTGTATTTGCTCTTTGCACTTTGGCTTACCGTATATCCTGGCGTAGAAAGCGACTGGAGGTATAAGACGACCCCCGAATTTCAAGTTAAAATGTAGGTTTCGGGCTATATTCGCCGTACAAGCGGGTCCCCACCAATCTTTTTGTTGTATCCTTAAAAAAGGTTACAAACCGACAAAGGTGGTACACGAGTGCAAGGAACAGCAAAACGGGCGTAGATGGAAGAAAGAGATTTATTGTAAAAGAGAATACACTACTGAAAGACAGGGAGTCGACTAACACTTCCTGAAGCCAGTCAGTCAGAATGACCAACCGCGGCCACCGGTAGCCGCTGACCAACAGACAGACAGACTCTGGTATGTCCTGTGTACACTACATATATTGTTGATATAATCAGTCCACAATAGGTAATAAGGAGAGAAAAAACATTCCATTACAACACTTTTCACTTAAATTCTAATGTAAAAACGGTGGGGAGATATTGTCAATTAACTACCACAATCTACAATAACTCAGGAGTGGGTGCTGCGTTTTTGGGAGGTTAAATAACGGTGTAGACTGGGATTTCAAGACTTCGATGGTAGCTAATTTCCATGCGATGCTGGGAGATTAGGAGCCCATTTTCTGCTTTCCGATACACATTTGCTTAGTACAAATCGGAAACTGTTATCATTTGCGGACGTGCGGATAGCGTAACGGATTTTGGCGCTAAAAGGCGAATTAGCAAACAAAATTCAAGTTCAAATTTCCGCTGAGTCTGTTTCATTCAATTTTGAACTTATGTCTTTCTGGAAAGCACCAATTCATATTTTCTCCAGCTATATAGATTAAATAACAAGGTAAACTTGAACGACTGCCAGTTTAGGAGAATTACAAATAAATTTAAAACCGCAAACAAGACGGTGGCAAATCATTCGAGTATCTTTCAAAATAAATTATCGTAATTCACTGATAATACAGAAAAGAATTCTTTGAAGAGCCATGATCGCCTATATCCTGAAAGGACAAGACATTAACAGTTCACAGATAATAAAGAAAAGGAATCTGTGGAGAGTCATGATCGCCTACATCCTGAAGGGACAGGACATTACCAGTTCACAGATAATAAAGAAAACGAATTCGTCGAGAACCATGATCGCCTATATCCTGAAGGGACATGGCATTGGCAATTTAGAGATAATAAAGAAAAGGGATCTGTGGCGAGCCATGACCGCCTATATTTTGAGGGGGACAGGACATTAGCAGTTCACCGATAATAAAGAAAAGGAATTCGAGGAAAACCATGATCACCTACATCCTGAATGGACATGGCTTTTGCAATTTACAGATACTAAAGAAAAGAAATCTGTGGAGAGTCATAATCGCCTACATCCTGAAGGGAATTGAGATAGGCGACTCACTGATAACACAGAAAAGGAATCTTTTGAGAGCCATGATCGCCTATATCCTGAAGGGACATGACATTAGCAGTTCACAGATAATAAAGAAAAGGAATTCGTAGAGAACCATGTTCGCATACATCCTGAAGAGACATGACATTGGCAATTCATTGATAATAAAGAAAAGGAATCTGTGGAGAGTTATGATTGCCTAGATCCTGAAGGGAATTGAGATTGGCAATTCACTGATAACACAGAAAAGAATTCTTTGAAGAGCGATGATCGCCCATATCCTGAAGGGACATGACGTTAGCAGTTCACCGATAATAAAGAAAACGAATTCGTCGAGAACCATGATCGCCTACATCCTGAAGAGACATGACATTGGCAATTCATTGATAAATAATGAAAAGGAATCTAGAGAGCTATGCAAATTACAAAGCAGAGTATTAAGAAACAAAAATATATCGTTAGAAACGAAATAAAAAAGTATTGAAGTGTTCCTGATATCTGTCCTCCTATATGGCAATGAATGCTGATATGTGAAACAGATATGTGGTTCAACAGAAGGATGATGAGGATACAATGGATCGAACAAGTGAGCAACGACGAAGTTTTAGAGAAAATAAAAACAAAAAGCAAATTTTTACGTAACACCAGAAAGAGACAGTTGAAATTTCTAGGCACATAATGAGGAAAAAGTGCGTGGAAAATTTGATACTCATAAGGCAGATTGAAGCCAAGAGAAACAGAGGAACAAAAACGCATAACCTACTTAGTGAGCTTGAGTAAATGGCGGAACAAGCTTTAGAAGGGATAACAAAAAAAAAAAAAAATTCATTAAGACGTACGAAAGACAGGAAATTGTGGAGAGCCATGATAGGCCAAGTACTGAAAGAGCGCAGCAAATAAAGAAAAAGAATTAATAACTGATTTGAAGGTTGGCTGTTTCTAGATTTTCTTTTAAAGAAGAGGATAAAACATTAAAAAAAAATGAACTCAAAAAGTTATAAATTTAAAATTGTTTCATCCACTATAGCTTATCCAAGTGATGTATCATAATTAACACAAATTGACAATTTTCGACCGAAATGTTGAGCAATGCGCACATGTTTCTGGGTTATTTTTTTCACGCTGAATCTGAAAATCAAGTCACCCCCCCCCATCACATTACGTTTTCTCAGTACAAATAATTTCTGTTTTTCTTAAAATAGGCCAAAATACCAACTTAACAGTGATATGCCAAAGCCAAAGAGAACCAACCTTAAACGTTTTCACGTTAGAATAACTTATCATAAAAGAAATCCTCTCCCCCCCAGCTATGGGTAAATAGCAGTACAGACCGGGTCCTATAGCCTTGCATGGCAAGTGAAAGAAATGGCAACCTACTGCGGAAAAAAATTGTCAGTCATATATTCAAAGATACATGATCGCCTTACGGTCAAATCACGCTGAAACACCGGTTCTCGTTCGATCACCGAAGTTAAGCATCGTAGAGCCAGGTCAGTACTTAGATGGGGGACCGCTTGGGAACACCTGGTACTGTAAGCCCCAAAGTCCAACCCTTACCTCACAGTCGGTGGGGGGTGTAAAAACGGTAGTGTCAGAGCTATGCCGCCCGGAAATTCGTTCCTGGTAGGGCCACCCAAGGCGGACAGGTCTGACACACACCTGGCTAACAAGGGCTCTGGTGAAAATCCAAGGAGCGTCTGCATCGGTAACCGGCGGCTTCTGGTCGTTCCTGTCTCTGCGTCTGTGGGAACTCCGCGGCAAGCAAGAACGTTATCCGAGTAGGCCTGGGTACCCTACTTCTGTAATTTATCCCAAGAATCTTCTTCTCATAACAGGAAGAAGCCGGCTCAATCCGCCCAGGGTGAATGCCGCATCAGTACAGTACAGATCGCCTTAGCGTGTATCACGTATGGCACATAATTGACTGAAATAAAGGCTTTTTATATCATTGCCCGCGAACTTAGTAAGGTAATGCGGGCACAAAGTAACACCTCTATGGGTCATTTAATGCTGAAATCTATATATTTTGTACGGAACTTTATTTATTTTATTTTAAATAATGGTTTTAGTAATACAATTCTTACTTGGGGAGAAGAGGTGGATTCATGCCTTTCCCAAGGGAATTTGCACTTAAGTGAATTTAATTAATCTAACTGGAATTGGAACTCGGCTCTCCGATTAACAATTACGAATCATTATCCATTACACCACCTGCACATCCAAGCTTACAGCACCAGTTATTTCCAAGAGGTCACCCTTCCAGGTATTGACCTAGCCTCGATGTTGCTTAACTTCGGTGATCGTACGAGAAACGGTATTTCAACGCGATGTTTTTAGACAGTTTTCAAGTTATCATTTTATGTTTGTTAAAGTTGGATTTGAAATCAGGTATCAGTGGTTTCCTTCTCCCAGTTTTAGTTTCTTTAATTTAACCCGCCATGTTACATCGTTCCCCACTGTCTGTTGCATTTGCCCCACCATTGGGGTAAAAAATAAGATTTTACAATTTTCATTTTTTTTTTTTTTTTACATTAAGTCCTTAAATTGAAATGACATCCAGAATAGCCCCTCATCATAATGTTCACTTAACGTCAGTGTTCAGGTACAGCTTAAATAAAGGAGATCCGGTGAAGTAATGGATGAGGAATCGGAGAGCCGGGTTCGAATTCCAGTCGCATCCATTGCATTCACTTACAGGCTATTACCCTTGGGAAAGGTAAGAATCCTCTTCTTCTCCACCTAACTATGGCTGAATAGTTCTGTAGCCTTGGATGGCAACTGGTCTACTGTAGAAAGAAATGGCAACCTACTGCGGGTGAAAACCTGCCTCGTCAGTCATGTATTGAAAGATACATGATCGCCTAAGCGTGTATCACGCATAGCACATAACTGACTGTCTGGTCATTACTGAAAAAAGATGTTACTTTCTCCCCCACTTTACCCTACCTATGTAGCTAAATTTTCAATAGTGTCAGAGAAAACCCCAAATTGTTTTGAGCAATCATATTTTGGAATCGATCCGTGTTTGACCGATGGCGTGACTACGGACTGCACACGAAGATCCCGTCCATTTTCTCGTGTGAAATCTTTCATTTTCGTCTCTTTTGTGTGTGTGTGTGTGGGGGGTGAAGGGCGGCTCAAACCTCACATCGTACACATATGACAGTCTGTATACAGTAAAAATTTTATTTACAGCGATTTATAGCTTTTCTATAAAACCACTGTTTAAAAAAAACTAAGAACTCGACGAGATGAACCCGAAAAATGACTTTTGTGAAAAATAGAAAGGATAATGGGATACGTTTGTTCCAATGAGACTAGTTTGAAGCGAACTAAGGCTCCTCTTCCTATTGCGTTTTATTGCCTTTACACTCCTTTGTGGGGTATAGGGTCATATGTTGTTACAGTAATTGCTAATCCAACGTCCAACACGTCCTGGGTATGACGATAAACTACATCCATCAGCAAGGCATCAACTCGAGAGGTTTTGAGGAGCGTGGAACCACCTCTTAATTTCTATTTTTCCTAGGTCCACCCTGATCTGCGGTGGTAGCACCTGTTAGGGTTCCATTTATAGTCGAATAGTTAACCCCCCAAAAACGATGAAAGTATAAAGATTTTTATAGTAAAAATACCAGCAATACATTTTCATGGTAAAATAATTTACCAGCAATGCATATCTGTAAGGAAAAAATATTGTCAGTAATACATTTTTGTAAAATAAATTAATAATACTCCCAAGAAAATTAGATTTCGGCATTAAATGACCCATAAAGAGTTGATGTGTCGCTAAACAAACATCTATATCTATATCCCCACACCCAACAGGTTTTGAATTCAGAGTTGTTCTCTTAGACTGGTTGCCAGCCAAGCTAGAGGAGTTAGTATGGCCTGTTATTGAAAACACGGAGTCATATATTTCTTAAAGTAGAAGAGATAGTTCTGTGCCTTCCCTAAGGACTTTTGCGCGAAAGTGAGTGCAATGAACATGGCCAGAATTTGAACTCTGTGTGCTGATTTCCCTTTTAGCACCGATAACCTGTGCGCTTCGCTAACATCCATGTGTGTAGACTACTTTTTCTTTAATATTTAGCGACTTGTTACTTTTCTGATCAGACTTCGCGTGCTCATAAAAAAAAAAAGTTGTTTTCCCTTGGGTTGAACGCATGGGGAGTTCAGCCCCTTTAATGAGAAGAATTCTTCTTCCCTTTTTTGCTTCCACTTGGGGAACGGTTAATACCTTCCTTACCACCGGGGCGTCTGCACACATGCAAAATGGACAACACGTACACAGCCTAACGTAGAATGAAAAGCCATTTTGATTCACCTTGCTAAGGACAGTTAAAGAACATAAGGCTGATGTTTATTTCTTTGTTCGTTTTTTTCTGTCAAACATTCTCGTCATTTGGGACATGTGTAAATCATTTTAACATGGGTATGTAAGTTGTATTTTTCATATTAAACGTTTTGTTTATTAAGGGCGTGTATCTTGTCTTTTTATACTCATATTCAATGTTAGTGTATCAGTGGCTACATCAATGCTAATATTAGTACTTGGTGTACAGGAGAGCATTATTCTTCCTAGCACTAAATAGCCGGTAATGGCTGGCTTATAAACCATAATAATACCCTTATTTCAAAGCCTCGACAAAAAAATAAGTGTGGGGGGTGGGGTGGAAAGAATCCTGTAAAGAGAGAAAAGTTTGATGAGTCTTTTTTTTCAGAAAGGGCGCGATCGTTAACAGGTCACTTTTTGTGTGGATAATACCATGTGTGTGTTCATCTGCCTGTCGCTCCGTGATAGTTGATCGAGGAATCCATGTCTCTGCTGTCCAAACTTATGCTGCTTCTTTACCTGTAGTACATCAGGGTTAATTGGCGCCCACTTTTATCGATGCACACCACACCATGTAGAGACAGTCCGCAGCCTTTTTTTACTGAAACACTGTAGATACTCAGTGCTACAAGTAACATATAATAAACTAGTACAATGCGATACTCAAAGGGAAAATGTGCAATTTAAATAATAGGAAAACAAGAGACTCCCACGAGGTTGGGACTAAAACAACAGAGATAAAGATATTAGTTCAAATATTTCCTAGCGCTCCTAGCGCTTCTCTTCAAGCCAAAAATAATAAGTTGTGTTACGCATAGCCGTGTTCCTGTTGCGTGTAGCCGTGCTACGCGTAGTCGTGTTACACGTAGCCGTGCTGCGCGTAGCCGTGTTACGCATAGACTTACTACGCGTTCCATGTTGTGAGTAGCTGTGCTACGCGTAGCTGTGTTGCGCGTAGCCGAGTAACACGTAGCCATGTTGTGTGTAGCCGTGCAACGCGTAGCCGTTCTACGCGTAGCCGTGTTGTGAGAGCAGAGAGAAAGTCTGAAAGCTCGATATGTTTCCAAAAGACAAATCTTCTCTGCACGACTCTCCAGCGCGAGTTACTGGTTCTTGCACGTGCGTGTGTTCGTCATTGTGGCCGTGATACGCGTAGCTGTGGTACGAGAGCACAGCGAAACTCTGAAAGTTCGACATTTTCCCAAAGACAAATTTATGCTTGCAATTAGAATTAAAAACTGACCAGTCGCTGAAAGATGGTGGGTCGAACTGGTAGATAACTTTGCTATGGTAACCATCAGGTGGCCGACTGAACCAGCGAACACGGCTCTGGGCGATGGTGCGAAGGCTGACCGGTCCTCTGGCAGAGCTCCTCATTGGAAGCAAGATCGGATTCGACCAGAGCATCCTGTCAATGGTCCTGGAAGGACTTTGTCCGCCAGGACTTCTAGCAGATTAATCTAGCCCTGCATGATCTTCCGACCCTCTGCCAAAACCGTGAGAGCTGGTGGGACAAGGTGGATCTCGCGGGACAAGGTGGATCTCGCGGGACAAGGTGGATCTCGCGGGACAAGGTGGATCTCGCGGGCTAAACGAAAATACCCGATAGGCTGATGAGCATCCTACGAAGTAACTTACTTTTTGAAATACATTTGTGTACTTACTTGATACGAAGTCCACTTCAATAGAAACGCTACCTCCTTTCTTCAGGATACACGGACTCTTTGTACAAGTGCTTACTCTGACGTCAATGGCGTAACCATCGGATGAAGCTGCAATTAGAAATATCAAATGGTGACTTGAATAACATTGAAAAAAATTTCCCGCCTCTGGGAAGTATTTCAAATCAGATGGGAAATCTCTCAAATATAAAATTAATCAATACACAGAATCCATTGAATCAGGTGAATTGATTCGATATAACCATAAGTTCTATACTAACAGTTTTTTTTTTCTTTTTTTTTTTCTAGCTTGTGGGATTCTTTTCCGGTTTCATGCTTTCCAGCCAACTTTGATCTTCAAAAATTTAAATGCAGCGTCGATCATTATTTGCTGTCTTCTTGGTTACTTTTCTATTGCTCTCGCCCCTAATAATGTTTCTCTTTTTTTATTCTTTTACACTCAGTGATCCCTTCTGTCTTAGTGGCTTTAATGCCTTGCATGGAGTGAAATGATTAAAAAAAAAAGAGAATAGAAAAAACGGCAGTAATAACGGAGAAAAAAAACAATAAGAAAAAGAAAATTAAAAACGAGAAAAAGAAAAAGGAAGAAAATGACGAAGATAAAGAAAGGAAAGTATATAAGGATCGAAAAGAAGAGGAGGAGGAAGAAGAAGACGAGGAAAACATAAAGAATGACAAGAAGAATGAAAGAAAGACTATAACGAAGAGCAAGTGGAAGAAGAAAGAAAGAGAGAGAGTAGGAAGAAGAGAGAGAGAGAGAGAATAGGAAGAAAAAAGAAAGAGAGAAAATAAAAAAGAAAGAAAGAGAATGGGAAGAAGAAAGAAAGAGAGAGAGTAGAAGGAAGAAAGAAAGAGAGAGAGAGAATAGGAAGAAAAAAGAAAGAGAGAAAATAGGAAAAAGAAAGAAAGAGGTATAATAGAAAGAAAGAAAGAAAGAAAGAAAGAAGGAAAGACATGTTTAACATCTCCTGCTAATACGTCATAAATAATGGACTATTCTATATTGATTGGATGAAAAGAAGCAAAATACAAATCAGAGACACAATTTGATTTCAGTGAGAAAAAGAAAGAAAGAAAGAAAGAAAGAAAGAAAGAAAGAGAATCAGAAGAAGAACAATATTGGATGACCTCACAACTTGTATTGTTATCATTTCAACATTTTCGAATCGAGAAAATATCGGCAAATATGGACGTTCCTGCTCGTCAAAAACAACTCAGTTTCAAAAGGGCGATTTTTCCTTGACACCGCCATTACTCCTTGACAATGTTTATTTTTTTAAAAAGCGATTATCAGAATTTTAATAAAATCTAAACATTTCACAAAAGTGAATTTAGACATTTTCTTTATTCTTGAGAATTTACAACAAAAATATTAAAACACTATTTATTTATTAGATTGTTTATTTACAAGAATAATTTTTTTATTTACAACATTCTAAAAACTAATACAATTGTATTAAAACTAATGCAATATTTATCATTTTTTTTAATCCCGTGACCCGTAGGGACACCATCGACATTAGAAGTGGTGATTCTTGGGCAAGATAGACTGACGGAGGCCAACGCCCCAAGGCCGGTTTTGAATTCAGAGTTTTTTCTTCTCCTAGACCGGCTGCCATCCAAGGATTCAGAACCCTGTCTGTCCTGCCATTTACTCATGGCTGGCGAGAAGAAGAGGATTCTTACCTTTCCCAAGGGTATTAGCCCGTAAGTGAATGTAATGGACCCGACTGGAATTCGAACTCGGATCTCCGATTCCTATTACTTGTACCGCTCGTAGGGACACCATGTGTACTGCAGCTGCAGTAAAAATGGTGTTTCTTGGGCAAAATAGTCCGGTTTTGAATTCAGTGTTTTCCTTCTCCTAGACCGGTTGCCAACCAAGGCTATAGAAACCATCCTGCTATTTACTCGGGTGGCGAGAGAATGTAATGGATACGACTGGAATTCGAACTTATAATTTACCAGTTTTTAAAGAAATAAATATAAAAACACGTTTTTATTCATAAATTTATAAACATTTATTAAATTATTAAAATATGTGAATCAACAATAAGGAAATCCTTATTATTTACCATTTTATAAAGTTCGAAATATCAGCGAATCGCAATTAGACGATATTTTGCCAAACATTCCAATAAACAATTTAATAAATAAAAAGTATTTTTATTTTTGTTGTCAATTCTCAAGAACAAAGAAAATGTATAAATTCACTTTCATATGTTTTTTAATACTAATTCTAATCATCACTTTTTAAAAGAATAAACATTGCTGAGGAGTGAAGGTAGTTAAAATAATAGTGGTGTCATGGGAAAAACTCTCTTTTTAACATTCCTTTTTATTGTGGGTATGTTTGTCCATGTTTGCCAAATTCTCGTGAATGATTTAGCATTTTCCTTTTAACTGCTGTATCCATTTAGAGCAGAAGTGATGATGGCTCTCCACAAATTCCTTTTTCTTTATCGGCTGTGAATTTCCATGCAAAAGAAATTTGCTAGTGCCTCCTCCACAGTATAGAATTAATAGTTTTCCTTCTCTTAGACTAGTTTCCATAAAAGAACCAGTCCATTCTGTTATTTAATCCATAGCCAGGAGTAAAGAAATAGATTCAAACCTTTCCCTTTCATATGTTTAGGTTTTATTAAAATTCTTATTGCCGAAGAGTCAAGGTAGTTAAGGGAAAAATGTTTCTTTGCAAGTCGTTTTTTTCCCGCCACGAAGGTCCAAAATTGGCAAAATATCATTCAAACTATCACTATCAGATATTTCATGCATTATGTATAGGATAACTTGATAACATGTACTGTTATTATTTAAGTCTTTTTGAAGAATGAAAATATTCAATCTATCACAACCCTGCCGTAGAGCTGACGTTAATAAAAACAATTTTGCTAATCGTAAGAACTACAGTGAATTTTAAGTACTCCGCTCTAGCTGTTCTGAGCCAGACAAAACCAAGATAAAAAAATACATGTAAAGAACAATAACAGGAACAACTAAGACACTAATACTCTTAATAAATTAAAAAATAATAACAATAATATTTATAAAGCAGGGATTAGAAGCACTAATCTTCTATGTTGAATAAATCTGGCAAATAGCTATCGTGTGTCTGGTTTGGAAAACTTTCTTCCAATTTCTGTTTTACATCTGCCTATAAACGTCATTCTGGACGTCTTTCATAAACACGTGACACCACGGATCAATAATTAATAATCATTTTTTTTTCTCGTTGATGATAGATAATAATCTTAATTTGTCTCCTAATTAATCCGTCTCTTAATCCGGAGTTAATCTTCGCCTTCATCTACTTTTTTGACACAGTGATAACACCGGTTATCAAACACAATGAAAAGAAATCAAACGATTTGTATATCAGGGATTTATATATATATATATATATATATATATATATATATATATATATATATGTGTGTGTGTGTGTGTGTGTGATATTTATGCATATATATATAGTATAAATGTTATATATATAATATATATATATATATATAATATATATATATATATATATATATATATATATATATATATGTTTTGAACAATAAAAATATTAAAAAATTATTAAAAAATAAAAATTTTCCGACACACCGGTGGTATATATATATATATATATATATATATATATATATATATATATATATATATATATAAAAATTTTCAGAATAAATATGTTGATAAGACAAATTGAATAAAATAAACAATCCGAAAATAATGCTTAGTCTTGCCGACGCATTTCGTCATTTGATTTTATCAAGGCATGTGATGATAAACAAAAGCGAAATGTTGTGTAGTTACATGAATATTTTTTAAAAAAGACGCTCTTGTGTAAGCCTCTTCTGGATATTAGTAACTTTTGCTTTTTTTTTTTTTTTTTTTTTGGATTAAGAGTGTGATTTTTTTTCCGTGTCGACAATGTGTTAAATTTCTTAATCAATAAACAAAAAAAAAAAAAGAAATAAGAAAAGCTAGACGTGACCGTAAGATCTTTGCTAACAGCATCTTCTGTCGCACTTCGTGCTTGTGGAACTGTCTTCCGGCTTGTTGCTTCCCAATTGATTTTGATCTTCAAAAATTTAAATGCAATGTCAATCGTTACCGTCTGTCTTCTTAATTCTTGTTATTTTATTGTTATTTCTCCTTAATAGTGATTTTCTCAAGTTCTCTAACAATGAGTAACCACTTGCATCTTAGTGGCTTTATTGCCTTGCAGAGGATTTAGCTCACTACACTGACAAATGTCATCATTTTAGTAAATGCAAAGACACCACGAAATATTTCATTTTTCAGTGAAGGAAATATTACTTATTTATATATATGAAATCTTTTGATGTATAAAAACTACTAACAATTTCGTTTCTCGCACTTTTCACAAGTGGAACTCTTTTTCTGGTTTCTTGTTTTTCAGTCAAATTTCATTTTCAAAACATTAAATACAATGTCAATCGTTATCTGCTGTCTTCTTATTTTTTGTTCTTTTATTGTCCTCTCTCCTTAACAGTAGTTTTTCTCATATTCTCTAACACTCAGCAACCCATTGCGTCCTAGTGGCTTTATTGCCTTTGATCTTCAAACATTTAAATGCAATGTCAATCGTTATCGTGTGTCTTCTTAATTCTTGTTTTTTTTATTGTTCTCTCTCCTTAATAGTATTTTTTTCTAATATTCTCTGACATTCAATAACCCTTTGCGTCTTAGTGGCTTTATTGCCTTACTTGGGAGTGAAATGATTATAATGGGACGAGTTTCTAGACTTAAACTGTGATTTTTAGGACAGAGCCACCCGCTCGGATCTAGGGATCTTTCTTAAAATAGACATTTTTTTCATTATCGTAACATCAAACAAGAACAGAAGTTTAAATATCTGGAAACTGTTTTAACAGAGGATGGAAAGTGTGACACCGAAATCCGAAGTAGCGTTTCAAAAGCTAAGCCAGGTACGCAGAGACTTAAAAATTTCGTTAGAAACGAAGAAAAAAGCGCTGGATTGCTATGTGATATCTATCCTCTTATATGGTAGTGAATGCTGGACAATATCACAGATGAAGAGAAAAACAGAGACAACAGAAATGTGGTTCTACTGAAGGATACTGAGAATTTCTTTGGCAGGGCAAGTAAGCAACGAAATAATGTTAAAGAAAATGGTAAGAAAAGACACTTCTACTCAGAATCAGAAAGCGACAGCTGAAATTCCTTAAACACATAATGAAGACAGGCGGCTAGGAAAACATAACCCTCACGGGGCATATTGCTGGTAAAAGATATAGGGGTCTATCTTTTTGACGAGCTTGTGTCAATAGATGGCAGAACGGGGGTGCTTTAGCAAAGGATCGAAAAGGTAATAGGTAGCTTTTGAGAGCTGTAATCGCTCATGTTTCGAAGGGACGAGGCACATAGAAGTTTTCGTCGAATAAACAACCCTAAAACAACTTTTAGGGGACGCGCTTATTAGACGGGGGTATTTATTCACGTGGGGTGCTTATTGAAAAAAATATTCATATGTGAAGCAAGTTATCTCTTATTATTCATAATGATTCCATTTATGCGATCAAAACGCTTCACGAGTCACGTAACCTATTAGACATCACATTTTCTACATCCATAACAACAGTGGTATGTCTAGAGCAAGAAATCCTGACAGAGTCCATCCCTCCTCGAACTGATTTTAAAATCCAGGCTTTTCCTTCTCATTGACTGGTTGCTACCTCAAAGCAGGAGGGTGAAGGAGAAGTGAGAAGAAGAGATGGATTCATGCCTTTCTAAAGCATTTTCTTTTTTTAACTTGACCAGAATTCGAACGCTGCTCACTAATTTCTTTTTCCCGAGTGGCTAACTGCTGCACTACTTGGAAATTCGTTTATCCTTGACAAATAACATAAAAATGATAGGTTTTCAAACTAGAAAATGAAGAATCTGCAATGTTATTTGATTTGACCTGACTTCAGTAATTTTCCCATCTCCGTAATCTCGCTTCCATGTGCCTTTTCTATAAATACTTTCATGGTAATTGCTGTGATGGGCTTTGCTCTATGGTACCTAGATTTTATGAATTTAAGCGCAGTACTAGATTGGCGGCTAGGTCTCATTATTTTACTGTTGAATTGGCTAGGTCGCGTAGTACAGCCCTCTCTACCTAAATATTTTTGATAAGTTGTGCCATAGTATCTATCAAAATTTTAATGTATATATATTTAATTAAAAGATTTAATTTTTCACAATATTAAAGAACAGAAATTAACCGGATGTTCAGCCAATGCGGTTTTTCACTTAATTTCCGTTTCAAAACTTATTTTCGAATTTACGGTGAAAGACTCGTTGTTGTAGCATTAATAATATCGAAATGTGACAGGTCTTGTGTATTTCCTTTATCAATTATTCCGATGTATATCACCTGAAGAAAGCCGGAGCGTGAATATGACAATAAAGTTGAGGGCAACAGTCTGAACAATATAAATAGTGTAAGTAGTTACACCACCTCATCTCAGAAATAAAGACAGATCCTGACGAAAACCGGAGCGTACAGAGGCCGAAACGTCGTTAATATGGCAATAAAGATGAGGACAAAAGTGCGAACAATGTAAATAGTGTAAATAGCCACAACACTTCATCTCAGAAATATAGATAGAACCTGAAGAACACCGGAGCGTACAATGGCCGAAACGTCGTAAATATGACAATAAAGATGAGGGCAATAGTCCGAACGATGTAAATAGTGTAAATAGTTACAATGCGTCATCTCAAAAATATGGATAGATCCTGAAGAAGGCCGGTGTGTAAACGGCCGAAACGTCGTGAATATGACAATAAAGATGAGGGCAATAATCCGAACGATGTAAATAGTGTAAATAGTTACAATGCGTCATCTCAAAAAATAGATCCTAAGAAGACCGGTGTAAACAGTAAATCCTAAAGATGAGGCAATAATCCGAACGATGTAAATAGTGTAAACGGCCTGAAACGTCGTGTAAACGGAATATGAATATGACAATAAAGATGAGGGCAATAGTCCGAACGATGTAAATAGTGTAAATATTTACACTACCTGATTTCAGAAATATCGACAATCGAAAAGTTTATGCTGAAATGAAAAAGCCTTTTTTGTTCATTTTGTGGACTACTGATCAAATACATTTAAATGCGGTTTCTTACCGAAATATCCCGCTAATTCTCTGACAGGCTTACACAGAAATGCTAACATATAAAACGATAGCAATTTCTAGGGATGCACTCTAGTTCCTATTTAGTAATTCAGTTATTGCTGATCCGTTTCCACTAAAGGCAAGTACACACTGCCCTACTCAGAGATTGAACTCACAACGAATATCACCAAATTCACAAACCAACGTTTTTACCCATTATGCAACTAGGGTATTGCTCACAGAAAATAAGAACTAAAGTAAACGTAAGCCTACCCCGTAAATTAAATAAAGTGTTCAGTTCAGAATTCCCTGTAGGTTGTCCATATCAATATACACCCGAGGATGGGTAGAGTGGTGGAAACGTTTTGGTAACAACAACAAAGATGAGGACAATAGTCCGGATATAAACAATAATGAGAACAATCTACCCCGGTAGATTAAAGATTCAGTTTTAAATTCCCTGATAGTAACCCGGATGAATAGATACCTGAAGAGGGTCAGAGGGTAAAATACAGCAAATGTGAGAATATTTCTTTGACTGTATATAATCTAAATGAGCGGTCGCCAACCTTTTGAACTTCATGGACCACTATATGTAGAATCTTAAATTTGGCGGACCCCTAATTTAGAAAAAAGGTAAATACATTTACAATAATAATAATAATAATAATAATAATCGGAAAACTTTTATTTTATTAATATGAAATGCAACCATTAAAGGTAACTAAGTTATAGTGTAATTATTTAAGTATTGACATTAGTCGGACTATTGTCCTCATCTTTGTCGCCATATTTGTCACAACGTTTCGGCCGTTGTACGCTCCGGCCTTCTTCAGGTGGTTGGAATGTTGAACTGAACACTTTATTTCGATCACTGGGGTAGACTGTTCTAGTCCCACGTGCCATGTTTTGATGGATGTCAGTTATCAGTTATCTCCTGCTAATTTTCCCTCTGAAAGTTCTCCACCGGGTATTGAACTCACATTCTTTGGGTCTGTCACTGGATCTAACCAACGCCTTTATCTACTGTGCCATGTGTCCTTGAGGACATCTGGCTATAGACTACATCTAAATATAGACATACTCGTAATTATTTAAATAAAACAAATTGAAAATTTGTAGTTTGAAAGTATTGTTAAGTTATAATATGACTGGATGATGTCACATTTGTGTCCTTGTGTACTCGTGATTATTTCGAGATTACATAAGGTCTTGAATATATATATATATATATATATATATATATATATATATATATATATATATATATATATATACCATCCATAATACGTTTTGTTACTCGTCAAGCTTCATAAAAAATTGAAATAATGTTCCAATTTTTTTGCGGACCATCAAAAATTTTGCACGAACCACTAGTGGTTTGTGGACCACTAGTTGGCGACCACTGATCTAAATAACCTCTATCTTCTAATAGTTGTGACATTTGCATACACCTGAGGAAGAGCGTAACAGCCGAAATGTTGTGATAACAACAACATAGATGAGGAAAATAGTGTAAATAATAATTAAAATACTCACTGCAGTTGATATAAGGGGATGCTGTGACGATTGAGAAGAAGGCAAATGTTAAAGTAATTGCCAAAAATGCAGATGTAAACTTCATCTCTGCTTCTAAAGGGGCGGCGTTGATGCTTGGTAGTTACGAGGTATCAAGAGGCAAAGGTTGGGTAATGAAACGTTAAAATCCGATGCAAGCTCTTTATATCAGCTGTGAGTCATAACGAGTGATTAGTGTCAACCAATGGCTTGGCTTCTTCCCAGATGACAGATACAGATTCTGCTCAGATCTGTACTTTTCACTGACCTTGTGGCCTGATGCTTGTGAACAGGTAACGTCATTAACAGCTGCTAAAATCGAAGGCAAAAAAAAGAAAAAGTGTTACTGGCGTGGATTTTACAAGTGAATATATAACTCGTGTCAGTTGGAAGGGAATTCGTATGGATTATAATATGTAATGGTAATATTAATGTAATTAAGTAATATTAGCCGTTCTTAATTTTTAATCATTTCATTCCAAGTAAGGTAATAAAGCCACTAAGGCTCGGGTATACAGACTATGAAAGAATATGAGAAAAAGTGGAATATTATTAAGGAGAGAAAACAATAAAAGAAAAGGATTTAATAAGACAAAAGAAAATGATTGACATTACATTTAAATTTTTCGAGGTCAAACTTGACTGGCAAGCAAGAAGAGAGTTCCATTGCAGAGAAAAGCGATAAAAGAAGCTGTTACTTGCATTATTCTCATTATTCGGACTGTCATCCTCATCTTCACTGACATATTCACGACGTTACGGCCGTTGTACGTTTCGGCCTTCTTCAGGTGATTGGATCTCTGAGATGAGACGTTATAATTACTTGCATTATTCTCATTATTCGAAATGTTATCCTAATCTTCATTGCCATATTCAAAACGCTTCGGTCGTTGTACGCTCCGACCTTCTTCAGGGGATTGGATCTCTGAGATTAGGCGTTATGATTACTTGCATTATTCTTATTATTCGAACTGTTATCCTCATCTTCATTGCCATATTCACAATGTTTCTGCCGTTGTACGCTCTGGCCTTCTTCAGGTGATTGGAACTCTTAGACGAGGTTTTATGATTACTTGCATTATTCTCACTATTTGAACTGGTATCCTAATCTTCATTGCCATATTCACAACGTTTCGGCCGTTGTACGCTTTGACTTTCTTCAAGTGATTGAATTTTCGAACCAAACCCTTTTTTTATCCACCAAGATAGATTGCTCTAGTTTCACGTGCCATGCCTCTTTCGGATCTCTCAACTCTCCAAGTTTTCGTTACTGTGGTTTGGTATTGAAATCACAACTCTTTGGGTCAAGTCACTGGACCTAACCAACGTCTTTATCCACTGGGCCATGTGTCCTTGAGGACATCTGTATGTGAATTTTTGGTATATACAGCTAATGTCTCAGCCTCCATTTTTTACCAGTGCTCAAACCGCAATTTTTTTTATTATTACTTCATTTTTTACCAGAGCTTATATTGCAATTTTTGTTGTTATTCATTGCTTTTCTCTGGCACTCCTTATTACTGGTTCCCAAGTTGTATTTATTTCTAGGTTTCGTCGTCTCAGGAGATTTTTGTGGCTTAGCATATATGCTGATTCCTTAAGTTTTCGTATTTTCCAGTGATACTCTCAGTCTACTACTTCAACCTCATCTCACACTGGTTGTGATCTCTCCCAAGCAATTTCGTTGGTTAGATCCAGTGATTCGACCCAAAGGGTTATGAGTTCAATACCAGGCCACAGCAGTGGTGAATCAAAACTTGGAGAGTTGAGTTAAACGGAAATAACCGAGACATCCGGAAGGAGCATGACACGTGGAACTAGAACATTCTGCCACGCTGGACAAAATAAAGGGTTCGGTTCGAAATTCCAATCACCTGAAAAAAGGCCGGAGCGTACAACGGCCGAAACGTTGTGAATATGGCAATGAAGATGAGAATAACAGCCAGAATAATGTAAATACTGCAAATAATCATAATACCTCATCTCAGAGATATAGACAGATATTGAAGAAGGTCTTAGCATAGAAGTTACGGTTTCATTTAGTCATTTCAACAATAAAACAATGAGACCTTGCCGCCAATTTAGTATCGCGCTTAAGTTCATAAAGTCCAAAGGCCACAGATAAAAGCAATATTTGTTTTTGTAAAATACAAAAAATGTAACACAAGTGACATGGAGAAAACTGGTCTTCATCTGTCTTATACTTAAACTTACAATCATTGACACAAACAGTAATCTTTTTCACCAAAACAACACAATTGCTTACCATTCTTATTACAGTCACCATAATACCTCGGAGTCTCTATGAATTCCTAATTAGTCCCCAAATGTTCAATTTGTCAGTGTGGATAGGGAATAAAAATAACAGCTATATAGGAAAGTTCATCAGAACAATTACCATGAAAGTATTTACAGAAAAGGCACAGAGAAGCTACATTACGGTGATGGGAAATTGAAGTGGAACCATTTGGCATTCATTGACCGAATAGGTAGTGATACGCGAAACCTACCTTCACTGCCTGACCATCGGGGCGGGTTCAAATTATAATATCTGCTCTCCACATCTCTAACAGTAATCGTAATATTAGCCATTTCCCTATATGGAAACATTCGGCATTCATTGACTGAGCAGCAAGTGCTACTATCAATTGAAATTTTATAAAATCTTTCTATTAAAAGAGGGTTATTTTTTTTCAGGAAACTTTTAACGCTCTTTCTAGTATCGATGGGAATTTCCTTCCTAACCTTTTGCTCGGAGTAGTGTGGAAAGTCAATGTATATCATTATTTTCCATTTCTCCGTGTGCTATCCAGTTTTTCAATTTCGACGGAAGCGATTAACACAGCCTTGTGGGTGATGAATCTTCCACTTTACAATCTTTTTCCAACAAACGAAATGTTTCTAGGTACTCGCTATTCTCTCGCCATTTTCACGACAGATTTTCAATATGCCATTATTTTCACTTCAAGTTACATGTGATCCATTTCACTTGTTCCTGCGGTTGAGACTCGTCAAGTGATACGATTGTTGTCTTTCGATACAGTTCTTTCTTATAAGATCAGTTCACGAGGTTAAATTATACAGGGCTCATTCACCAGAAGCCATTATTAATCGCTCATCTGAGAAATCGGTTGTTTACATCCTGTGAGTGGTTGAATGAATAATATAAGAGTTACTGGCGTATTTTCCCAGTCAGTGAATTTCTCAGTTATTGGTAATGGTAATATTAGCCATTACCCTATATGGAAAATGAATTCACAATAACTGACTGGTTGTGAAAAAAAATCCTATGGTTGTAATTCACTATATAAAGAAAATTACAAGTGGTTGAGGAACGAACTTAACAGTTTCTAGGGTGGATTTTAACAGCAATGGTAATGTTAAAATGAAGCGTTTCCTTATAAAGAAACATTCGATATTTATTGACCGAACTATTAGTATTACAGTCGGTTGAAATTTATGAAATCTTCCTTTTAAAAGGGCATTTCAATAAATTAGACTTTTCAAGTCCACTAGCAGTTATCGCTCTTTCTATTATTCATAGGAGTTTCCTTCCTAATCTTGTGTTTAATGTAGTGTGTATTGATTAGTTTCCTTTCTCTGTACGTGTAATATCCATTTGAAATTGAATAATAATTATAATATATTGAGACAGAGAAAGCAAGACCGAGAAACAAGTATATATATATATATATATATATATATATATATATATATATAATATAAAAAGAAAGTTGTAGTGGTTCCAACGAGAGAAAAGTATGTATATTAAAAAGAAGAGGAGAGGTGCCGCAAACAGGAGATAACTGACGTCCATTAGACATGGCACGTGGAACTAGAACAGTTTACCCCAGTGAGCGAAATAAAGGGTTCTGTTCGACATTTCAACTACCTGAAGAAGGCCGAAGCGTACAATAAATATGGCGACAAGTCTGAATAATGTAAATAATGTACATAAGACCTCATCTCAGAAATAAAGATAGATACATCAGAATGTCTATCTTAACTCGTGATACATTCCCTTAAGCAGGCATTTCATTTGGAAGCCGTAAATTTAATAATGGCGTATTCTGTGAGTATCTAAGTCGCTGCACAGTACTTTGAGGTTATTTGGATTATAATGACCGATTTTAGAATAAACTTTAATTCGTCAATTAATGTTTTTAAACAGTCTTTAAAGCAGTCAAAATAGGAATATCTATACTAGTGCTTCTTAAACTACCGGATATAGTGAACCATCATTTTTTTCTATGTATCACGTACCTGTAATATATCGTGGTAATGTTAATTCATACCAGAAACGATATATATATATATATATATATATATATATATATATATATGTGTGTGTGTGTGTGTGTGTGTGTGTAAGCAAATGTAAATGGATATAGATCCGACAGAATGAAGAAAAATTTGAAAAAAACAAACCAAAAATCCTTAAATGCAATTATGTTGTTTAAAATGAATGAAATGTCGACGTCTGACGTTTCGGTTTAATAAACCTTCTTCAAGACAATATTCATTAAAATACAATTCAGTTCAATTTGACAAAGACGATGGACATAAAAATCACAAGTCTTATCCAAAACAGATAACTGAAAATTTTTAAAATGATCAGCTTTCCGTTTAGCTTTCAAAACGTATTCCTAAAAATTTTTTGATTATTTTGAATGAAAAAGAAAATGAAAAAGAATTCTATTAAGCTGAAAGCGGAAAGCTGATCATTTTAAAAATTTTCAGTTATCTGTTTTGGATAAGACTTGTTTTTTATGTCCATCGTCTTTGTCAATTTGAACTGAATTGTATTTTAATGAATATTGTCTTGAAGAAGGTTTATTAAACCGAAACGTCAGACGTCGACATTTCATTCATTTTAAACAACATAATTGCATTTAAGAATTTTTGGTTTGTTTTTTTCAAATTTTTCTTCATATATATATATATATATATATATATATATATATTGATACATGTGGCATTCACAACTTACTTGGGATTAAATGATTAAAAAAGAAAAGAAAAGATAGATACGAAAAGACATAGATATGAGCAGTCGAAAATACAGTAGAATCCCTGACAACCAGACTAAGAAGGCCTTCCGGATATGACAAATCGGTTACCAAATCCGGATATGATGGGTTATATTTAGATTAAAATAAAAGAATTGAAATCAGGTTTAACATTTATTTTCAGTGTTTTATATTAAACAAAAGAAGCTAAGGGTGAGTGAAATATAACGAAATTGATTTTAAGGAAAAAGAAATAAATTAAGTAATGTTAATGAAAATTCATTAAATTAAGTATTCCACGTATGCAAAACAAATAATGTAACGAGGATTTTTTTAATCGCTGTTGCATGATGATTCTTTCTCTTCTAATGTCTTTCTCAACTTTTTCGTTTTGTTTTCGAATTTTTTTAACCGAAAGGCACTTTTTAACTCTGCGTTCATTATTGCAATCATTATAGCTGAATGCTGGCTTTCTTTCCATAAAACTGACAGCCTTTTCAAAAGCTTTTTTCAAATTTAGTCCAGGTTTCATCACAATCATGTATCTCGTCGCTATCTTTTTGCAGATGTGTCTCATTGTCATCCTTTCCTCTTATTCCCATCATCTTTTGCACCAATACAAGACATTAAGGTGAAATAAGCATATGCAATTATCTAAAGTAAATTTCCTGAAAAACATAAATTTTAAATCAGTTACATAGTACCCAAATAGTTCAAATACACACATCAAAATCATGTCATGGATGTGAGGGATTCTATTGCATATTAATAAAATATTTGTAATACTTATTATTTCTTATATATTTAAATAGACATGGGGATAACCAAGTCAAATAAGAGAAAGTCAATTTTAAACGATTTTTAAACCGATCTTTTTGTTGCTTGAGTTTAGATCGACACGGTTGACATATTAATGATTATTTTTTCTTTTTCTCGGCTGTAAGAATAAATCGACCAAAACGTTGTGTTAAAATCATCGAGTACACGTCCATGAAGAAGAATTTCAATTGTCCCCAAAAAAAGTATAAAGGAAAAACAAACAAAAACAATATAAAATTTAAAGACAGAATAAAAGAAAAAGAAAAAAGAACACAGAAAGGAAATAAAATGAAAGAAAGAAAATATATATATATATATAGAAAGAGAAAGAAAGAAAGAAAGAAAGAAAGAAAGAAAGAAAGAAAGAAAGAAAAAGTGACTGAGACCACCGCAAACAGAAGTAAATAAACACAGAAAGAGATACAGCAAGAGAGAGAGAGAGAGAGAGGGGGAGAGAGAGAGAGAGAAAGAAAGAAAGAAAGAAAAAATGAAACCGCCGCAAGTATGAGCAAGCAGAGAGAGAGAGAGAGAGACAAAGAAAGAAAGAAAGAAAGAAAGAAAGAAAGAAAGAAAGAAAGAAAGAAAGAAAGAGACCGCCGCAAGTAGAAGCAAACAGAGGGGAGACTGAGAAAGAGAGAGCGAGAAAGAAAGAATGAAATAAAGAAAGATGAATATGAGAACACATCAAGCAGAAGGAAACAAACACAGAAAGAGAAAGAAAGATAAAGAAAAATAGAATGAGACCGCCGTAACAAGAAAGAAAGAAATATAGATAGATAGATAGATAGATAGATAGAAAAAACAAAAAAATTGAGACTGAGACCGTCATAAGCAGAAGCAAACAAACACGGAAAAAGAAAGAAAGAAAGAAAGAAAAGAAGAAAGAAAGAGAGAGAGAGAAAGAAAGAAAGAAAGAAAGAAAGAAATATAGAATGAGAGAAAGAGAGAGAGAAAGCTTGAAAGAAGGGGGGAAGACACTAAAATCCCGAGAATATCTTGTGCTGAAACGTAAAGATAACCCAGAAATTAAAAAGATTAAATGTCCAGAAAATTTAATCAGCACAAGTAAAATGTGTTTTTTTCTTTTTTTTTTTTTTTTACTGCTTTTGATATCGTTACATCGCGAACCAAATAAATCATGGCAACCGATGTTTCCAATGATTTGTAAATGACCAACGATTTAGGCCAACGATAAACTCTGAAGTAAATATCTTGAACGAATTCTTTCATGTGACGTACTACTACTGTACTGTGCTGATGCGGCATTCACCCTGGGCGGATTGAGCCGGCTTCTTCCTGTTATGAGAAGAAGATTCTTGGGATAAATTACAGAAATAGGGTACCCAGGCCTACTCGGATAACGTTCTTGCTTGCCGCGGGGTTCCCACAGACGCAGAGACAGGAACGACCAGAAGCCGCCGGTTACCGATGCAAGTGTTGCCAGAAATTGACCTATTGCCTCGGCGCTTTCCGCTTTGGAAACATAACATTCAGACATAAGGGGTAGACTCTTACTTTAACCCTTTAAGTCTGTGGAGTTACCCCACTTACTTTCCAAAAATAAACGCCACTAGAGGGCACTTTCTGAACCTATAAATGCACTATAATATTTTCTATCATTCTCTTTCTTCTATTTTCCTTAGACACGCTAGGATGTAAATCTATCGTAAAAACGCGTTTCCCATTAGGAAACGCACACACACACATATGTACGCAACTTCATTTTCTCTAGGATTTCTACACACATTTTACATACACAAACAATTCACTAGACTTTAAATGTTTCCACGCATGTTCATTGTTTCGTCACATACATACAAGGTCATTGTCTCTATCGCTCACAACAATATAACTTTTTGTCTTGATAATAATACATTATCATTTGTTTGTATATATATATATATATATATATATATATATATATATTGGTTTTAGTTGTTCCTTTTTATTCTATTACCCGGACTCCAACATGCAAGTCCGCCATTTTTGTCGAGGGATAAACATTTCAGGAGACACGCTTTTCCCAACTCAGACAGCAACGTACATACGACCGCCAACAATCAAAACAAAGAACGTACAGCCTTGATGAAAACGGATCCCTTCAATTTTCTTTTATTAATTTTCACCTCGGCCTAAAAAATAAATAAATAAACGCCACTATAGTCTTATTTATATAACACTAATTCCACATTTAATGTTCATTGTATACTACAGGCTTGGCGAACATTCATGATTGTCGGGTCATTTTTGGTATTTAAAAAATTTTCATGAACATAAATTGGTCATGTCATATACTTACCGGTATTTATTTTTTTTAATGAGAATCCTGTTGCTGCATTTTAGTTGATATTATTTTAATTGAATGTTCATACTTTGTTATCTGCTTAATGCATTCAACACTCATAAGTCACACCGAAGCGATTTCTGGTCGTGGGTTTTATGTAGTTCATTGCAAGTCATATTTCTTGACATTCATTTTACTGATTCCTTGTGGATCAATAAAATGTTGCTGATGGGTCAGTTCACGACTCGCGGGTCAGTAGTTCGCCATAGCATTATAGAAGGAGACATTATCTGTTAAAGGAGACATCGTTTCCATATTTTGCACTTTTTTTCATCAGATGTCCTTTGCAAAGATTTCAGACTTTGTCACTGTCATCTTTTCTACATCTGTTGACATTACATAAATACTTAAGCTGAGTTCATTTCTAATTTCTATCCCCGGATGAACAATTCTTTCTTTCTTTCTTTCTTTCTTTTCTTTCTTTCTTTCTTTTCTTTCTTTCTTTCTTTCTTTCTTTCTTTCTTTCTTTCTTTCTCGCTGTGCCTTTTTTCTATCTCTCTTTATCGCTTTCCCTCTTCTTTCATTATTTGCCTTTCTTTCATTCTTTCTTTCTTTCTTTCTTTCTTTCTTTCTCGATTTCCTTCTTTCTTTTTTCTTTCTTTCTCAATTTTCTTCTTTCTTCTTTCTTTCTCACTTTGCCTTTTCTTTCTTTGCCTTTCTTTCTTATATTCTTTCTTTCTTTTTTCTTTGTATCTTTCTTTCTTTCTTTCTTTATTCTCGATTTCCTTCTTTCGTTCTTTCTCACTTTGCGTTTTCTTTCTCTGCCTTTCTTTCCTATATTGTTTCCTATATTCTTCCTTCATTTCTTTCTTTCTTTCTTTCTTTCTTTCTTTCTTCTCGATTTCCTTCTTTCTTTCTTCTTTCTTTCTTTCTTTCTTTCTTTCTCGATTTCCTTCCTTCTTTCTTTCTTTCTTTCTTTCTCACTTTTCCTTTTCTTTCTATGCCTTTCTTTCCTATATTGTTTCCTATATTCTTTCTTTCTTTCTTTCTTTATTCTCGATTTACTTCTTTCTTTCTTCTTTCTTTCTTTCTTTTTTTTTGTCACATGCCTTTTCGTTCTATGCCTTTCTTTCCTATATTGTGTCCTATATTCTTCCTCTCTTTCTTTCTACTTTCTTTCTCGATTTCCTTCCTTCCTTCTTTCTTTCTTTCTTTCTCGATTTCCTTCTTTCTTTCTTCTTTCTTTCTCACTTTGCCTTTTCTTTCTTTGCTTTTCTTTCTTATATTCTTTCTTTTTTTTCTTTTTCTTTCTTTTCTTTCTTTCTTTCTTTCTTTCTTTCTTTATTCTCGATTTCCTTCTTTCTTTCTTTCTTCCTTTCTTTCTCATTTTGTGTTTTCTTTCTATGCCTTTCTTTCCTATATTGTTTCCTATATACTTCCGTTTTTTCTTTCTTTCTTTCTTTATTCTCGATTTCCTTCTTTCTTTCTTCTTTCTTTCTTTCTTTCTCGATTTCCTTCTTTCTTTTTTCTTTCTTTCTCACTTTGCCTTTTCTTTCTATGCCTTTCTTTCCTATATTGTTTCCAATATTCTTCCTTACTTCCTTCCTTTCTTTATTTCTTTATTCTCGATTCCCTTCTTTCTTTCTTCTTTCTTTCTTTCTTTCTTTCTCGATTTCCTTCTTTCTTTCTTTCTTTCTTTCTTTCTTTCTTTCTTTCTCACTTTGCCATTTCTTTCTATGCCTTTCTTTCCTATATTGTTTCCTATATTCTTCCTTTCTTCCTTTCTTTCTTTCTTTATTCTCGATTTCCTTCTTTCTTTCATTCTTTCATTCTTTCTTTCACTCTCACTTTGCCTTTCCTATATTGTTTCCTATATTCTTCCGTTCTTGCTTTCTTTATTCTCGATTTCCTCCTTTCTTTCTTCTTTCTTTCTTTCTTTCTTTCTCGATTTTCTTCTTTCTTTCTCACTTTGCCTTTTCTTTCTATGCCTTTCTTTCCTATATTGTTTCCTATATTCTTTCTTTCTTTATTTCTTTCTTTATTCTCGATTTCTCCCTTTCTTTCTTCTTTCTTTCTCACTTTGCCTTTTCTTTCTTTGCCTTTCTTATATTCTTTCTTTCTTTTTCTTTTTCTTTTTCTTTCTTTCCTTCCTTCTTTATTCTCGATTTCCTTCTTTATTTCTTTCTTTCTCACTTTGCCTTTTCTTTCTATGCCTTTCTTTCCTATATTGTTTCCTATATTCTTCCTTTCTTTCTTTCTTTCTTTCTTTATTCACGATTTCCTTCTTTCTTCCTTTCTTTCTCGATTTCTTTCTTTCTTTCTTTCTTTCTCACTTTGCCTTTTCTTTCTATGCCTTTCTTTCCTATATTGTTTCCTATATTCTTCATTTTTTCCTTTCTTTCTTTATTCCCGATTTTCTTCTTTCTTTCTCGATTTCCTTCTTTCTTTCTTTCATTCTTTCTTTCTCTCTCACTTTCCCTTTTCTTTCTTTCCTATATTGTTTCCTATATTCTTCCGTTCTTTCTTTCTTTATTCTCGATTTCCTTCTTTCTTTCTTCTTTCTTTCTTTCTTTCTCGATTTTCTTCTTTCTTTCTCACTTTGCCTTTTCCTTCTATGCCTTTCTTTCCTATATTGTTTCTTATATTCTTTCTTTCTTTTTTCTTTTTCTTTCTTTCCTTCTTTCTTTATTCTCGATTTCCTTCTTTCTTTCTTTCTTTCTTTCTTTCTCACTTTGCCATTTCTTTCTATGCCTTTCTTTCCTATATTGTTTCCTATATTCTTCCTTTCTTCCTTTCTTTCTTTCTTTATTCTCGATTTCCTTCTTTCTTTCATTCTTTCTCGATTTCTTTTTCTTTCTTTCTTTCTTTCTTTCTTTCTTTCTTTCTTTCTCACTTTGCCTTTTCTTTCTATGCCTTTCTTTCCTATATTGTTTTCATATATTCTTCCTTTTTTCCTTTCTTTCTTTCTTTCTTTATTCTCGATTTCCTTCTTTCGTTCTTTCTCGATTTCCTCCTTTCTTTCTTTCTTTCTTTCTCACTTTGCCTTTTCTTTCTATGCCTTTCTTTCCTATATTGTTTCCTATATTCTTTCTTTCTTTCTTTATTCTCGATTTCCTCCTTTCTTTCTTTGCCTTTCTTTTTTATATTCTTTCTTTCTTTTTTCTTTTTCTTTCTTTCCTTCTTTCTTTATTCTTGATTTCCTTCCTTCCTTCTTTCTTTCTTTCTTTCTTTCTCACTTTGCCTTTTCTTTCTATGCCTTTCTTTCCTATATTGTTTCCTATATTCCTCCTTTCTTTCTTTCTTTCTTTCTTTCTTTATTCTCGATTTCCTTCTTTCTTCTTTCTTTCTTTCTTTTTCGATTTCCTTCTTTCTTTCTTTCTTTCTTTCTTTCTCGATTTCCTTCTTTTTTCTTTCTTTCTTTCTTTCTTTCTCGATTTCCTTCTTTCTTTCTTTCTTTCTCACTTTGCCTTTTCTTTCTATGCCTTTCTTTCCTATAATCTTTCTTTCTTTCTTTCTCGATTTCCTTCTTTCTTTCTTTCTTTCTTTCTTTCTTCTTTCTTTCTTTCTTTTTCGATTTCCTTCTTTCTTTCTTTCTCGATTTCCTTCTTTTTTCTTTCTTTCTTTCTTCCTCGATTTCGTTCTTTCTTTCTTTCTTTCTCACTTTGCCTTTTCTTTCTATGCCTTTCTTTCCTATAATCTTTCTTTCTTTCTTTCTCGATTTCCTTCTTTCTTTCTTCCTTTCTTTCTTTCTTTCTTTCTTTCTTTCTTTCTTTCTTTCTTTCTCACTTTGCCTTTTCTTTCTATGCCTTTCTTTCCTATATTGTTTCCTGTATTCTTTCTTCCTTTCTTTCTTTCTTTCTTTATTCTCCATTTCCTTCTTTCTTCCTTTCTTTCTTCCTTTCTTTCTTTCTCGATTTCCTTCTTCCTTTCTTTCTCACTTTGCCTTTTCTTTCTATGCCTTTCTTTCCTATATTGTTTCCTATTTTCCTCCTTTCTTTCTTTCTTTCTTTATTCTCGATTTCCTTCTTTCTTTCTTTCTTTCTTTCTTTTTCGATTTCCTTCTTTCTTTCTTTCTTTCTTTCTTTCTCGATTCCCTTCTTTCTTTCTTTCTTTTTCGATTTCCTTCTTTCTTTCTCGATTTCCTTCTTTCTTTCTTTCTCGATTTCCTTCTTTCTTTCTCACTTTGCCTTTTCTTTCTATGCCTTTCTTTCCTATATTGTTTCCTATATTCCTCCTTTCTTTCTTTCTTTCTTTCTTTCTTTATTCTCGATTTCCTTCTTTCTTTCTTTCTTTCTTTCTTTTTCGATTTCCTTCTTTCTTTCTTTCTTTCTTTCTCGATTCCCTTCTTTCTTTCTTTCTTTTTCGATTTCCTTCTTTCTTTCTCGATTTCCTTCTTTCTTTCTTTCTCGATTTCCTTCTTTCTTTCTCACTTTGCCTTTTCTTTCTATGCCTTTCTTTCCTATAATCTTTCTTTCTTTCTTTCTCGATTTCCTTCTTTCTTTCTTTCTTTCTTTCTCACTTTGCCTTTTCTTTCTATGCCTTTCTTTCCTATATTGTGTCCTATATTCTTCCTTCCTTCCTTTCTTTCTTTATTCTCGATTTCCTTCTTTCTTTCTTCTTTCTTTCTTTCTCACTTTGCCTTTTCTTTCTATGCCTTTCTTTCCTATATTGTTTCCTGTATTATTTCTTCCTTTCTTTCTTTCTTTCTTTCTTTATTCTCGATTTCCTTCTTTCTTCCTTTCTTTCTTTCTTTCTTTCTCGATTTCCTTCTTCCTTTCTTTCTTTCTTTCTCACTTTGCCTTTCCTTTCTATGCCTTTCTTTCCTATTTGGTTCCTATATTCCTCCTTTCTTTCTTTCTTTCTTTCTTTATTCTCGATTTCCTTCTTTCTTCTTTCTTTCTTTCTTTTTCGATTTCCTTCTTTCTTTCTTTCTCGATTTTATTCTTTCTTTCCCACTTTGCCTTTTCTTTCTATGCCTTTCTTTCCTATATTCTTTCTTTCTTTCTTTCTTTCTTTCTTTCTCGATTTCCTTCTTTCTTTCTTCCTTCCTTTCTTTCTTTCTTTCTTTCTTTCTTTCTCACTTTGCCTTTTCTTTCTATGTCTTTCTTTCCCATATTGTGTCCTATATTCTTCCTTTCTTTCTTTCTTTCTTGATTCTCCATTTCCTTCTTTCTTTCTCACTTTGCCTTTTCTTTCTATGCCTTTCTTTCCTATATTCTTTCTTTCTTTCTTTCTTTCTCGATTTCCTTCTTTCTTTCTTCCTTCCTTTCTTTCTTTCTTTCTTTCTTTCTCACTTTGCCTTTTCTTTCTATGCCTTTCTTTCCTATATTGTGTCCTATATTCTTCCTTCCTTCCTTTCTTTCTTTCTTTATTCTCGATTTCCTTCTTTCTTTCTCACTTTGCCTTTTCTTTCTATGCCTTTCTTTCCTATATTCTTTCTTTCTTTCTTTCTTTCTTTCTTTCTCGATTTCCTTCTTTCCTTCTTTCTTTCTTTCTTTCTTTCTTTCTTTCTTTCTTTCTTTCTTTCTTTCTCACTTTGCCTTTTCTTTCTATGCCTTTCTTTCCTATATTGTTTCCTGTATTCTTTCTTCCTTTCTTTCTTTCTTTCTTGATTCTCGATTTCCTTCTTTCTTTCTCACTTTGCCTTTTCTTTCTATGCCTTTCTTTCCGATATTGTTTCATATATTCTTCCTTCCTTCATTTCTTTCTTTCTTTCTCTCTCGATTTCCTTCCTTCTTTCTTCTTTCTTTCTTTCTCACTTTGCTTTTTCTTTCTTTACCTTTCTTTCCTATATTCTTTCTTTCTTTCTTTTTTTCTTTTTCTGCCTTTTTTCTTTCGTTCCTTCTTTCTTTCTCACTTTAACTTTTCTTTCTGTCCATTTTGCATGTATTTATATATTCGTGCAAGACTTCCTTCACCATATATAGGAGACAGGAAAAAAGAGATTGACAGACTCACAGTCTACAATTAAACGGATGCAAACTCACATGACTAACATGTCGGCTTCTATAACGCGAAATACACGAGGCCCAAATCAAGTTGTGTGGTTTCTATTTACTTTATCCGTTAAATAATAAACATCGTGACTTTCATTCACGAACTGTTGAGGATAAAATATAGCATGAATTTTATCTCAATAAACGACTTCATTGTTATGCGTGATTCTATTTTTAGCTTCTTTTTTATTAAGTTCTGTCTATCAAAACTTAATGGCACCGATATTCTCAGAACTTATTTTAGTGCATCATTTTACTTACAATTATTACCACCTGACGGAAACAATAATCAGTGCATTGTTTAAACAAATTAACCGTAAATAAACAACAATGCCTTTTTCATAGACATCTGTCAGTTTAATTCTAGCCAAGGTTGTTTTTGCATCTACATAAGTAGCGATGTAATCATTCGAAGTAACGCGGTTTATCAAAATAAGTACTGCGTATTTTTTTTCGAAACTTAATAACAACGCCCTTTTCTTCTTAAACTTATTAGCAATACCAGTTATATTGTAATACCATTTTGTTCGTAAACTGAATAGCAATACTATTTTGTTCGTAAAATTAATAGCAATAACATTTTCTTCTTAAATTGAATAACAATACCATTTTGTTTATTGTTAGTAATACTTCAAACATGCCATCGAAAATGGAGGTAAAAATTTATTTTTTTTAAAATATTTTATAAGTACAATGTAATTGCAAAACATCAATCCATTTTTTTACATTATTCACACGCAGGCTGTTGTTCTCATATTTCTTATTATCATAACGTCTCTGCCTTCATCAGGTGCTTGTCGATAGTCTAAAGCATTGATTCGTGAATCTGGTGACCAAGTAATTGTGAGTTCAATCCCTGGGCCGGGTGGTGCGTACTTGGATTCAGTGGAAAAGGGGCGAGAAATAACCGAGCAGTAGTAAATACCAACTAAATGAGGTCATATGCTGTCGACTGGATGTGAACACTAAAAATTGCTTTCCACGTAGACATCCGGCTCACAAAACAACCCCCGAAATATGAAATACAATTAAAAATCAGCCAGTCATATAAGCATTATCACTAAAGCAAAAGCATAACAAAATACGCTGAGTCGTGTATCGACGCAAACCGCTTAAAAGAACGCCGCTCGCCACACAAACATCACTCGCAGTCGAGCTAGAAGGCATCAACGCCAAGACATACCGACTCTCCCTTTCCTCCTGGTCGCTTTCCTCGCTCACAAAGAGACATTCCGTCTTGATCCTCTATATCGACAATTTTTTTTAACATTTCTTTGAAAATGTTTAGGTCAGGGAGAACAAAAGACCCTCACTGTGTTACTGGCCCTAAGGACCTGCTAATATTTTTTTAATGGACTGTTATTGGACGGTTCAAAGGTGAACTGCCCCCCCCCTTTGAAAAGGAAAGGAGAACTGGAAAAAAAACTTACGGCAGTTGTAAACGAGACCGCTTAGAGAAGAGGTTCGTTTTTCTCTTTTCCTGCTGAAAAGGCAGGCAGCGTTTGCCCATAAGTGAAGGATGCATAGGTAACAAAGTTGCTGAGGGCAAGTTTCCTCTTCAGAGAAAGTTTTGAGAAGTCCTCTCGAAGAAGCCCCAGAAAAGAAAGTTTGAAAAAAAAGTCCATAAGTGGAGTTTGGAGCTAAAGCCGTTTGAGAAGAAGAAGCAAACACGTGCGTTTTCAAAAAGTGTTTTACCACGTGTTTAAAGTAAATTTTCACCTTCTAGCGGCCGTAAAAGAAAAGCATAATTTCCCGGCGGACGGGAGAAAAATAAATGAAGAAAGAAGTGAGTTTGGTTACCAGGAAGAGAACTTTGTCTACACAAGAAAGAAAAGAAAAAAGATAAAAACTTTTGAACCTTGAAAGGACTGAAAGTCTACTGAAGAGCTAAGGCTCCCCCCCACACACCTTTTTTATTTTTATCAGGGGGGCGCTATTCTTTTTTTTTTTTTTGTTTTTGTTTGGTGCATTGTAATTTTTAAGTTTGTTTTCTGCTATGTTTTTTTTACATTGTGTTACTCAGAGAATAGGTTATCTTATTCTCAGCAAAAAGGGACGAATTTTTGCAAGAACCCTTATTTAGCTGGCTAGAAATAAATATTTTTTTCTTTGTAATTGAATCTGATTTGCTTTTTTTTATCTTTCTTTTTCGTTATTAATTCGGGCAATAGTGAAAATACTGTTGCAGCAGGTTTTATTTTCTGAAAGAAAAGAAAATTTCAAAAAACTTCCTATGAGTCTTTTTTACGCCTCACCGGCAGTACTTTGTTATTTTGTTTACTCTCGTGCAACCATAGGCGTTTATAACAATGAGATATCTCTAAACATGGTTAGCGGGTTGAGACCGTAGATTAAAGTAAAAGGTTCAGTTCGAAATTGCTTGAAGGTTACCCGAATCGACAATCACCTGATGAAAGCCGGGGGCACAAATGTTATGATAATAACAACAAAAATAAGGACAATAGTTCGTGTAAATGTAAATAATGATAACTCCTCCTCTCAGAAATTCAAAGAGAAACTGCCAGCACGTTTTTCCAGTTTCAAAGAAGGTAAGATTGAGACTTGCTTTATATAAAGTGCTTCAATTATCTTTAAACGTCTTTTACAATTAAATGTTCCTCGAATGAGATTGTTATCTACAGAATTACAACGTTGACGTTATGAGATTGTCAGCACATTCTTCTGTCTTCAGTTCAGTGA